CTACCGTAGCCGGCGCCTGACCCACTTGGGCACCACTCCCGCATTTCCTCCCACATGCGCTCATATCGAGATATGATGGCCTTCTGGTCTCTTTAGGAGTAACTTCTAGTCACTAATTGAAGCCAAGAGTGATTAGCGATTAATTTAATCGATTCGATCGATCGATTTTATCAATCTCAAATCTTTAGCAGTCGATACTTCTGGTCAATGATTACTACTGGAATCATATTATAACCATTAGTAGGTAATTCCACTTTACCTGAAAATATCGTGAAAGGAACCCTGTCAAATTTAATCAAGCACCACCGTATACTATCTCGATGGGAGGGCACAAACAAGCAGAGAAGGGACGCAGTCTTATTGGTCCTTTTCTTTCAATTACGATAGCACCTCGTCAAGAATCTGATGCACCAAACTTCAGTGCTGAATAAGCTGCGGTCGTGCAGGTGCTTGAGTCGTGCCCTTCTTGTTATACCGATGCGTAGGTGAAGCTTCACTTGCGCGATTAGCCCGGAGAGCGTTGAAAAGTCTCGTTTTGAATGACATACATACATACATTTTGTCCAACATATTACAGTACTCAAATTTCTTTTGAAGATTTCCTATTTCATGAATTTCAGCCTACATTGCCGATGCCTCGTGAGTTTTATGTTCTGCCACAATTTGCACCTGAACTTGATGCTCGGACCAAGGCTATCGAAAATGTGATGAAAGCATTTGCTAGCGATGTATTGAAAGATCCTTCCAAATATGAAAAAACGATCAAGGATGTAAGTTAATACGGTAATGAAGTGTCCGGTTGTGAGCTTTTGCACGGGCCCACATAAGTGCATTAGGCTCCGCTTTCTTCTTTTCTAATACTTTGAGCTGATTGGATCAGAAAATGAAGATTCCAGCTCCATATACCTTGACGATTTTCAGAAACGAGCCATTCAATGGCTCCTAACTAAACTCTCATTGTTCCCAGTACTGTCATGGCACGACAAAGTAGTGTGAAATACTGCGGCTACCATGGATATGAACCATAGATTCGCTTTCAAACCGACTATCTCTACCTCAGACTTACCAAGCCTTTTGACACGATCCCACTTATGCCTGGGAAGATGAAAATGATAGTAAAGGCGAAGGGAACCGGGGTCTCGGTAGTGTAAGGGATAGAGCGCGATCGTGAAGCACAAGTACGGGTTTGAGTCCCGTCAGAGACTGCACTTTTGTCTATAAATCGTCAACCTTGAGGGGAAGTGCTAGTTTTCCTTCCCTGGTCCTTTTGGATCTTCATATTTGTAGGTCAGTGCGCATTTGAAATGCCGCTATGACCAGAGTTCAAAAGCTTGATCCCATCATGAGTTCCCATGATATGCTATAGCTGTACGTCTTTTTGAGAGGTACCTACTTCAGGCTGCTCGAGAAATTACGCAAATTGAACAGAAATTAGCAATGGCATCGTGGCCGGATGACGAACTCAGGTTTTTTTCATTCGGTTATTTGATCAGATTAGCTCTGACGGCAAGTATGTGCCTGCAGGACTTCCCGCATAGTCTAGACTTTCCTAAAATGTTGTGGAATTTTTCATAGAGTTTCCTAGCAAGGGTGTTATCTACTTGCCTGCACATAACATATCCGGCTCCTTCTTCCCTGCCTATTAAATCCCTCATGAGCATAATTCATGATAAAAGGGGTATCTTAGATTCCCGCTCAGGATGGACCGGTAACCCTCACGAGTAGCAGGAGGGACGCTATCGTGTTGGAAAACAGCCTAGACTGGGCGTAATAAGGCCCCAAAACCAGTTTAGGCGACGTACACCTCCAAGGAGGACGAGTTTTAACGAAGTTGTAGAAGCTTTAGATGCTCCAGCATTCACAGTAAGACGCACATCTTCACGCAGTCAGCCTAGTGTCTATATTCTTCCGGTCTATTACTCCCTCCCATCGCTTTTCCAAAGCTAAGACGCAAGCAAGAAGGTCGAAGGGAGTGGGGGGGGGGGGNGGGGGGGGATCGATCTGTATGGCCGGCTGTGATATTATGAAATATCCGGGTATGTTAGGAGCGAAAGAGTTAAATAGAGGGGTCGCTTTATACTGATCCTACGGAAGTTTTCGGAACACACTTTGAAAATCTGGATTTTTGTGAAATTTCGGCATGTACGTTCCGAACACCCAAATAAGGGGAGGGGGACGGAACCTTCACCCAATTCTGGAAGAACGCGGTGAAGTTCGTTGTCATTCAAACAACTCTATCATTGGGCGCCTATCATTGGGACTCATATTTGAAATAGGGTGGATCAGTAGCAGCAGCTGTCCCTACCCCTCCAACCTAATCAAAACCTGTGCCCCAATGGTGAGCGCCAGAGTCCTTTGGGTCACAACAAACTTCGCTGCTCGGTCTGGCGCGTCCATCCCGAATTGGGCAAATGTACCCATGCCCTACCCAAGTATATTAATACAATGCATGATATGATTCTTTTTTAGGAATCATGAACAGCAGTACAACCCATACGAATTGTTCGCAGCAGGTCCAGGTAAAATAGACCTTAAAGCTGCTTTTCCAAATATCCGTTTTGGAAAATATATATCCGGGCTTATGGAAACGGCAACCGATGGCGTACCAGTGTCTCCTGTTTTCATTGGTGATGTAAGCCAATTAATGGTTTCTTCTTTGAACATTTTGGATTTTCAGAATATTTTTGAGTGTTGTTTTTGTTTTGTTGAGTACAAAGTTCGGATCGTAAAGAAAGTGATGCCTTATCAACGGACGGAAGGCTGACAGACAGGTAGTGAGATGATGCCTTTGCAACCGATAGAACCAGCACTGGACTTGCACAGTGGGACTTCAGTAATTAATTAGGTGGGCTGGCTGGAATAAACCGGACAAGCTTAACCTACTGTCAAAGATTCTGTCGAACTTGATGGCCGGACGGGCTCATGACTGTTTTAATCTCCTTATCAGTCATATCGTATTTCACTTCAACAAGACAGTGGCGTGAAAAAACGCCAAACGGCTCCTCGTTAAACGGAGGACACCTCTGGGGTAGATTTCAAGATAAGGTGAATGGACGGATTGGTTCCTTGCACGACTCATTCCTCATGCATTACAGCTGCTTAATTGCTCTGCGGCCTGAAATTACAAAGTAAGGGTACTGTAACTTTACAATTAGTCATCTTTGTGACTGTACCCATCCATATTCAACTATGTACCAAACTGCTAACATAGTAGGCTGTATCTGATTGCAATAACTCGAAAGAACAGTGGTATTGGCGCAGACTTTGAGGAAACGAAGGAAAATACCACGGTCTACGGAAAGAATCCGCCCAGAAATTTCAGAAAAAAATTTCTCATGGAATCTTCCGGTAGTTTTCACAGAAATATCTCAAAAGGACACCACCAACTTGTTTGCGAATAATATTAAGATTTTATGACATCGCAGTCGATTAGACTGGTCGAAGCTCATCTTTTACCATCCTCTTTCCGATTCTGAGGTGGTAGAACCAAGGGAGCAGCGGAGAAGTCAAATTCGAACTGGTGAAGAAGTCGAACTTGTGACTGATTTAAAGAGACAGTTTGGCCATTACAGGGTTGAGTAAGCAATGAAGAAGAAACTTGATGTCTTATGCCCACACAAGCGGATGGTGCGGGTCTTTACATTAGACATTCCCTAGATACTTTCAGATCGTCCAAACAGAAACTGGGAGACCGCAAACTTTCCAGTATATACATATGTTCCGAACAACCTAGTTGCTATGGCGAAAGAACCCTCTAACATTGAGACATCAGCGATGTAGTGAAGACTGTATATTACCAAATTTTCAACGGCAAACTCTACTCTTTCCTTCCTGATGGAATCACTCATGTCAGGCATCCGCTTCCGATTTGGAAGCGTAGCTCATACCCAAAAAGTGTCATTTTTGCGATTATTTTCTGTATTTTATAAAAACCAAGCGAACTTTTTAAGGTAATCGTTACGAACCCGGCATATATAAGTTTCCTGAACACTCTCCTCAGTCAGACTGATTTACAGTTATCGCAAGAACCATTCGTCAATTATATAATTGTTCATATGCTTTTTGTAAGTTTTTTTTAAAATGTATCGGTTTTACGATTCATGAAAACTTTCCCTTCTGTTTCTTTTTGCAAGTGAGACAAATATTTTCCATCCTCATGTCCTCCTTCAACTTGTTTAACGTTTGCGCGCTCCTCTGATATCTTGGCTCCTTCCACCCCCACTAAATATCTTAACATGGAGAAAAATAGGGTGTGGTGCGTTAGGGACGAAATGGTCGCGTCGCGGTGAGAGGAGCGTNNGCGCGCGAAGGAATGTAGCACAATGCATCAGTAGGTAAGAAATACAAGAACAAAAGTACTGATAGAATTGTGCATAAAATAATGATCGCATATCGATTGAGCTGTAGAAGAACGGTAGAGCTGTAATAACGGCGAATGAGTGGTCCGCGACAGCCGCGTGCGCCAAATCGACTTCCCAAAATCGTTCCTAACGCCCGTCTCCCAGAAAAATAATCTCTACTTGTGTGTAGAGGAAAAAGCCTAGAAGAGATGGTTCTCCATCTCATCCATATATAGAAATTCGGTCGTAGACGATCGAAGTCGGTTTTCAATAGCTATGCTTATGACGCAATATATTCAGTTGGACAGGCAGAAAAGCTAAACACTGCCACGTAGGCAGAATGAAGATTAGAAAAGAAAAATATGTGGCAAAGATAAGGAAAGCATGCAATTTTCGTCATGACTTCAACAAAAAATTGCTCAAAGCTGTACAATCAAGGAATATTTTCTCCGAAGATAACAAGAAGTTCGTCCATGCGGTTTTTAAATAAACAAATGTATGGACATCTTCAAAAATTGCGAGAAAATGAGTAAATGAGCTACTGTAGGCAAGCGTCCTTTGAGGTGATGAAGAAGTGGTCTATTTAAAATAGCCTAATCACTCAGAATCCACCATATTTGTTCATCCAGCCATGGGAAATTTAGAAGAATCCCCTAAAAACACTTTTTTCTGTTTTATTTCCAGTCTTCAGTTTTCGATTTTTTTATCAAGTTTTTCTTTTCGGTCGAGCATTAGGGGATATTTTTATCGCAATCGTTGCTTTTTTCACATTCATGACTTTGTTTTTGCTCTTGTTTTTTATAATTTTTACGTTCAGGAAGATGCTGAACATCTTGGTGATAAGTATCTCAGGATTGTGAAAGATGCTGACTATGTCACCTATGCTCAGAGGAAAGGAGTTGGAATTTCCAGGTAGTCAAGTTGATTTACCTAACTCTAACCATAAGTTTGTACTGCTCTCCAGCAGCGATTTATTGACGCTTCTGTCCTCTCGTTATTATTAGAACTCCATGATCGCCCGGAATTTCAATGGGATTTTTTCAAGAAGACATGGTTGTAACTAATTCTGAGCTCTCTCATCTTGAAGCCTCGGCATTTCTGTTGTTCATGAAGTTGTCATTCCGACTAACGTTTTGAAGGACTTGTCGTTTTTAAAGGCCTGAAAATGGTTCAAAGCTTGTTGATTGCACACTAGCCCCACCATCGCCTCTTCCGCTCTAGCGTTTCTGACGTTCTATCAGGAATGCACGAAAAATAAGTAAGATCATTCGTTACTAATGTACTAACCGTGTAGCGTAGTGCTACACTTCGCGGTGGAAGTGAGGTGACCTTCTCTTTTGGATTTTGGACATTTTCAGTGCATTCCTGATAGAACGTCAGAAATGCTAGAGCGGAAGAGGCGCTTGGTGGGATAGTGTGCAATCAACAAGCTTTGAACCATTTTCAGACCTTTAAAAACGACAAGTCCGTCGTAACGTTGGCCTGAATAAAAATTTCCATCTATCAACCTCTGGGCAAAAGGAAAATTAACAATTTCATGTCCTGATTGTGTCAGGCACTCATCCATCAAGTTGAACAGTTGCTAATGATCTAACTTTCAAGTGGCTGAATTCAGCCTGAAGTATTGCAATGTTCCGTGAAAAGTGCGAAATTGCCCAGCTAACAAGACGAAGGGCGTTCAATGACGCGCCTTCCTCCTTCCGCGGCCACAGGTCATAGGAGTATGACGTCCCATAGAAGCTATATCCTTAGCTTTACTAAAGCATGAGTTAGCTGTCTTTGAAGAGTAAAGAATCAAGTTGTCAAGCCGCGAACTATAAACCCGAATATTGTTTCAGATCAGGTCGGAAGTATTCTCGTGTGTATGATGAAAGAACCGATGCAAGAATGAAATGCGTGGACACCATAACAACATACATGCCATACGGAACAGGTTCCTTCAATATTCGGACCAAATTCATCTTTATCAAAAGTTTTCAGCGATATTAGAGCAAGCAAATGTGAAGCAGCGCATGTTTCTAGAGGCGCGGTTCTCCATAACTCCATGTTCCTACTGTATTTCGGGTTACAGGACCACAGTGTTGCTGCAGAGTGGTTCAACGGTGACAGAGACAATGTTAAATCCAGCTAAAGCATTCAAAATTAATGCTCAAACCACTTGTTCCTAAAATTGGACGAGATTACATCGACCAGCGGGTGTTGTACGAGATTGCAATTGCCGCAGGGCAGCATGTGTTGGTTAATGGCGCGTATCAGTTGACAGCATGTGTGTGCAGCAAACGTGCTCTATTTCAAACTGGATCGGCTTTTACAAGGGCGCTCAACACGTCCTACGCTAGGTGTAAGGGGGTGGGATTGAGGATTTTTAAGCCCATTTCGCCTTACCTGAACCATTTTTAGACCCGGCATTCTTCTTTGATAAGCTCCATTTACCATGAATAACTAGCGAAAGGAAACCCTTCATAGCGAACAAGGCCTTTAACAAATTATCGAATCAACTTGGAAACAATAGCTCTTTCTTGAAAGATATCGGTCTTGGCCAGTTTTCAGTTGCCATTACTTTCTTAGGCTTGAAGACCGCGGTTAACTACTTTGTGGACATACTCTCTTTTCCAGTAAAGCACGATACCAATCTATGATTTTCATTTCGTCGGGCTTTTTTCGATATCTTACATTTTAGGGTATGTTTATGTAAAATCAAGAGAAGATAGGGATCAAGTGGTGGAGGACGTTAAACAACAAACAGAGCTTATTATGAAGGCCTTCCTTGTAAGTGATAAAACAGAACCTCAAATTTTCGATTACACCGATTAATCTCTGAAATGTTGGAGCTAGTTGCTCTGTCAGAGAGTTGTTGTTTACGTTTTACCGCAACCAAGTAATCTATCGTTTAAAAAGTTGAAAATGAATTAAAGCATGGTTCAAGCTCATGGACAATTTGTTATTTACTATAACCAGGGTTTTAGTATGGGGCGAAGTGCGTCCCTGTTGCCTACCGTTCCTCTTCGGCCACTATGATCAACCGAAAGAGTCGTAATTATGTATACTATAGAAAATAAACAACTAATATTTCCAGGAAAAAATGTTGTCGACATTGACATGGATGAAAGGAGAGTCTTATCAGAGAGCCGAAAAGAAAAGTCAGTTCCAATCCCCACGTTCAATCGACTCAAATGTCCAAAGTAATTTCGAGAATATTTCTAGTCAAAGAAATGCATAGAAACTATGGATGGCCCAAGGAATTGTTTGGTGATTTCAAAAATTTCGATACAATCGACGCTTACCATAGGGTATGTGGCCAGGGTATTACTGAATTTTTAATTATTTCTATGATTTCGATATTTTCCAATTTTTTTTTGAGTTTTTTGACTAATTTAGAAGGATTATTATCCAATCCTTGAAGCCTACAATAACAAAACCGACAAAAGTACAGCATTCTATACNACAATCGACGCTTACCATAGGGTATGTGGCCAGGGTATCACTGAATTTTTAATTATTTCTACGATTTCGATATTTTCCAATTTTTTTTTTGAGTTTTTTTGACTAATTTAGAAGGATTATTATCCAATCCTTGAAGCCTACAATAACAAAACCGACAAAAGTACAGCATTCTATACAATATTGAATCTTCTAAGACAAGGATATGAAAATCGTGAAGCATTCCGTCGTAAGAATGAAACGGCTGACAGGTGAGAGGAAAACCTCGGATAAAATTTTAAAATATTCGTATTTCCTATTACTAGGTTCCATTTTAGGACAAACTTCCTTGAATCACCGGCTTCGGTTAATGCGTGGTATGCACCGGAGTTAAATTCATTAACGTTACCTTTTGGAATTTTGACTTCACCCCATTACAAGTAAGTATTTGTATGGGACAAAAAATGAAAACTTCAAAAAAATACGGGGACCCAAAGGAACTAATGTAAATGCCAGAAGAGTATCGGAAATAGAGGCATTTCGTTATACACCTGGCAGTTCGACCAACTACAAAAGACAGGACGGTAGCTCGGGGAGAGGGAAAGGGTCCTTTAGTTTGTGAATAGCGGATGTCCCGAATACCGCTATTTTTTATGCTTGTTGTTTCCACTGCAGTCAAAAAAATAACCCATGAAGTAAGAAGGACCTATGAAGTACCACTTTGGCTAGAACATCCTATTTACAGCATTCTTTGGGCATAGTTTTGCTTTTATGGCCATGAACTTGGGGGCATAGGAGTGTTTAATTGCATCCATTAACCTGGACCTGGACCAATACACTTCAAGGGCCCTACCCTAGTGGTAAGTTTTAACCTAAAGCTGAAGGTATACCATCGGGTCTTTGGTGTAGACGAGAAGCGTTTGAAAAAACTGTTTCAATGTAATTTTGACGATGTATGCAACTCTCATCGTTAGCCAGTTGTCTCGCTGCGGTGTGTACCGCTGGGGAAGCCAATCCATCTCAGGGCACGGTCAAGACCCCAAATAGGGCTCATATGAAGCACATGTAATAGATAGGACGAATGGGCGCATTTGCTTAGCCGCGATCTCGTTTATTACCATTTCTAAGGATATACTGTAAAACCAAATAAAACTAACACCGTATAAAAAAGGAGGGCTTCAGGCGAAATAATTCAGGCAAAACTGAACAAAATTTCAGCCTGCAATTCCCGAAAGCGTTCAATTTCGCAGGGTCCGGTACAGTCGGTGGTCATGAACTTGTTCATGGATTCGACGACGAAGGTAAGTAGTAATTTACTTCTACGTAGATGAATCTACAGCCTCTATTCTCGTTAATCCTGTGAAAATCAAGGCCAGAGACCTGAACATCAGAGAGAAGGCTCAGCAAAAACCCTAATTTCTTTCAAATCAGGGGCTTCTGTGAGTCCTCCCAAATATTGGACCAAATTTGGTCTACAGAAGAGTTGCTCAAAAAACATTGTCGGAGTTTCCTTCACTGAGTACTTTCTAGTAGGAGTTGTTTGGTAGAAGTTCTTACTTCAATCCTGCGGAATTTCGAGGAGGAATGGAGCATCTCTCATTGTTTAGTCGTCTTTGGTATGATTATCTTTCGATTAAGGTGTTCAATTCGACTATGATGGAAGCCTTGCAAACTGCTCCGTGTATGAATGTGGATGGCTGGAACAAAAGGGTAGAAATGGATTCAGAGACATGGCTCAGTGTGTAGTGACGCAGTACAAGTAAGGGATTCTCGATATCCTACTAACATACCAGTTTTGTCCAGGGCATCTCGATATTATAGTGATGCAAGGATATTTAAAAGTGTTTCTGATCAGGTTCCTGGGTGCGCCTTGCCTCCGACTTCCATTCGAAATGGCAGCGGTGTTTTTTTAAATACATTTGTGATCATCAAGTTGCATGAGTTGTGGGTTAGCTGACTAATGAATCATA